TTGGAGGTCCCTTCCAATCCTTAATGTTCTGGGATTCTGTGATTCAATACAGTGCATTAGATTGCATTTAGAAGATCACTTATTTGCTGGTAATTGTGCATTATAGCAATCCTAAAGTGCTAATTCATTTTGTACTTGTATAATTAAAAGTATTTACTATTTTGTAATCCCCACAGGGCTCCAGCACCTCTGACTGTATGTCAAAAACACTTGATTCAGCCAGCGCCCACTTTGCTGCGTCTGCAGTGGTCAGTGCACCCGCTCCTGGTCGCAGCGAGGTACCGAAGGAACAGACCACCAGCCACAACAATATCAATGGTGTTGTCCAGCCTTCAGGTGACGATTTCTTAAAGCTTGTGACCTAGTGTGAGCTGAGAATGTGCCAACTGATCTCATTCCTGATTTCTAAAATACTGTTTAATAAACAAAATAAAAGAAATATACTGTGGTAGTTTTAAATACTGGTCTTTAAAATACTCAGCTACTTCCAGCAATTCTTTTGGCATCACTGTGAGTCTCGGATGCCTCCAAATTGAGGCAAAAGTGTAGGCCTTGGCATTCGCTGCCTTACCCACACCCCTCTTTCCCAACCTCTGTTATCAGGAGGTAGCAATGCCTCTCATGTCTGTGCAGTAGCCACGTTGCTGAGACACAAATGTTATTTGGCATTTGACTGCCATAACAAATAAAAGGCTTTCAGAGCAATTTGTTGTTTTAACAGCTAATGATGTGTTCGGTTTTACAGACCTTCTGCCAGGCTGGGTTAATGATGATATGAAATGAATAGAGGGGAGAAAAAACCACAACTGAATAAAATTGGTATATTGGAACAGTTCCAGGAGAGAAAGAGACATCCGTGGATAAATCTCTGAGATCCTGTCTTAGAGGGGATTGTTTTGAGGGGCATAAGATCAGGCACGGGGTGGTGTACTGTGCTGATACGTGGTACACAGCTTTATGGTGGATGAAAACCATGGCAAATACCACGCATATAACATTATACTCCTGTTACTGTTCTAAAGCTGCAAGTGGTAATGATGTCAAATAGCTGTTCCTGTTTAGGACAGGAAGACTTGTAAATGAGGAAATGTTAGCTGAAGGCAGATACTTCTTTTTCAGGAGTAATAATCTAGGGGAAAAATAGATCTGGTTCCCCTGTGATCCAAATCAGAGCGCTGAATAGCTAGGATACCACGATGAAAGCAGAAAACCTCTGGTTTGAATATGCACCCTGAAACCTGACGTTTCAGCAGTGCAGACGGAGCACTGCAGCATAATCTGAAAGGAGTTTTAACTCGCCCAGCCTTAGACCCCTCAGGTCCCCAGAACCTCTTATGTTGCTGGCAGAAAAAGGCAGGAGGTGAGGAGGTGATGTAAAGCATCAGAATTTGGCTTCACAGTCAGTCTCCATGGTGTTCTCCATTCAAGTCACTGTTACGGGGAATGTTGCCCCTTTAATTTAAGGTACCTAAAATGAGGTGTAGAAAGTTGGGCAATATAAAAGTTCTTTGTCGTACAGTAACTTCTTTTGCTTTCTTGTGTTCTCGTGAATGAAAAAGGCCATGAAATATTTCTAATCTTGACTAAAAATCTTTCTGAAATTTGCATTTTGCTGATCTTAAGAAAAACAAAGTCTTGCGTAATTCCAGTGACATATGAACTTAAAGCATTACCCTTGAGGTTAATCTTTGGCTT